TCTCATTGGTTGTAAACCCAAACACGTGACTGCCTCGTCACTGTCTGAATGTACAGCCCCCTAGGTCTTAAAGGCATATGTCTCCAATGCTGGCTATATCCCTGAACACACAGAGATCTATGGGATTTCTATCTCTGGAATGCTAGGATTAAAGGTGTGAATGCCACCATTTTCTAGCCTTTGTATCTAGGGGCTGTCTGTTCTCTGACCCCAGATAAATTTATTAAGGTACACAATATTTTGGTGAACACAATACCACCACACATAGCCTGTATTGTTAATTCCTCAGTACAGAATTAGGAATTCATGGTTTAGGTGCAGTTTCAGCTTGACTCCCTCCAGTGACGTCAGACTGTTCCAGAGAGCTGCTGTATTGAAGTTGGAAAGGTCTTCTTTCTTGCACTGGTCAGGAAAATTTTTCCTCTCATTGTCCAATTGCCTCACTAAAAGTCATGTATCTGAAATAGTAATGCTGCCTCTTTCAGCTCTAAATCCGTGGTCAAAGTGCACATTATTTATAAAGCCTTTTGTGGTGGGGTCTGAGTTAGGGTTTCTATTGCTGTGAAGAGACACCATGACCTCTTATAAAGGAAAACAGTAATTGGAGGTGCCTTAAAATTTCAGAGTTAGTCCATTATTGTCATGACAGGAAATATGGCTTTGTACAGGCAGACATGGTGCTGGAGAAGGAGCTGAGAGTTCTGCATCTTGATCTGCAGGCAGCAGCAAGAGATTATTTGCCACACTGAGCATAGCTTGAGTATATGAGACCTATCCCTGTAGTGACACACTTCCTCCAACAAAGGCCACACCTCCTAATAGTGCCACTCCCTGTGGGCCAAGCATTCAAACACATGAGTTGTGGGGCTCATTCCTATTCAAACCACCACAGGTGGCTTACATGACTGATAGTTTATGTGGTTTTTAGGAATGCAAATGAACTTAAATATTTTTCTAGGTAAAGTATTAAGCCAGATTGCTTCTAAGAAGCTGTCTTCTTAAGGTGATGTTGAAGTTTTTTGCTTGCTCCAAAATTGTGGGAGATTCTCACCTCATTTGAGTTAAGTGCTGAGTTTCTTTGTTAAAGTGCAAATATGTGTTACATAGCCACCATTTTCTCCTGTTAATACCATGTGGCCAAGAGAATAGAATGGGCAAAACCACACAGGCGCTGGAATAGAAGCCATTCTCAATGGTGGACAGGCCTTCTCTGGAGATGCAGGGTGCAAAAATAGTAAGATAACCCTCCCTCTCTCCCTCTCTCCCTCCCTCCCTCCCTCTCTTCTCTTCTAAGTTTTCTCTGAGCCAGTTCTGACATTAAAATCTTTTCTACAAAAGAGTTCATATGATGCATCCCATTAAATAGCTAATTAGGGTCAATTGAGGAAATAATTTTTGTTTGGAATCATCTACATAGTTATGTGTCTGTCTTGTTTTATTGGAAATACTTGTTCATCCAGCAAAATGAGCATGCTATAGATTTTCCAGTTTATTTCATTCTTAGTTATAACTCTTTTAATGCTATTTCTGCCTCTTATCCCATGACTGTTTTATTATGCTCTTAAATTGTATAATACTGAATTATTTGTCTGTTCCACTGGTCTCTGATTCCCTGAAGACCTTGACTGTCTCATCTGCTCTGTATTCTCGGTGCCTGGGCAGTGCCCATCAGTGTCTTGTATGTACTGCGTATGTGATGAATGCGTGGTGAGACATGTGTCAAGCAGAAGGAAAAAAGTCAGTTGTCGTGTGGTGCAGGCGGCTGCTTGCTGTTTGCATGCAGCTCCATAGTAGACTCCATCCGCATTCCATAAGCTGATAGAAGTTAGACCCCAGCCTTTCACCACAGACCAAGGGAATTCAGAATGAAACTAAGACCCAGATGTAACAACCTAAACTAGAAGACTCTTGAGAGGGTGAAAACCAACAACAAATGACTTAGAAATTTAGCTTTATAACAACTTCTCTGTTACTTCATTTATCACACTATAATGTAGTGGACTGCAGCACTCAATACAAATACTGTGGAGTGTGGTTTGTAAGTCATAATAGAGGGGCTCAGGAGGTGGCTCAGTGGTTAAGATCACTGACTGCTCTTCCAGAGGACCCAGGTTAGATGCATGCACTTGACAGCTCACAACCATTTGTAACTCTAGTCCCAGGGGATCCAACACCCTCTTCTGGCCTACATGGGCACCAGGTGTGCATGTGTTAACACAGATATACATGCAGGCAAAACACCCACACACATAAAGTAGGTAAAACAAAAATTGTAAAGTTATCATTCATAAGATAAAAATCATGTGTTCTGGAAGACTCTTAAGTCATTGGGACTTGAGTGTTTAGAAACTCAAATGTAATGGGGTTAAGCAAGAGACTACACTTAATTTTGACTCCCTAAATAAAAACACAGAACATTGTGGTGCATCTTCCTAAGTGCTTCCATTTTTCATTTCATGGTTGCCTTAGACTGCTTGAGAAGAGGTTTGGGTCTAAGAGGAAGAACAGGTTTTATTTGTGAGGGAATTGCATGCTGTACACACCCTTCTGAGGGAATGTCCTCTCTACTTCCCCAGGCAGGGGCTGGAGACAAGTGTCTTGTCTTTCTCTGGCATTTGGTTAATAAGTAACCCGTTTTCTATTATAGCTACTAACGGGAATTGTCTTTCTTGGTGAGTGGCTTAGAATGGTAAAAGAGATTGTGGTCTTTTCTACACTCAGTATGGACTAATTGTAACTATGTCTTCTTTTTTCAGGAAGCTAAACAGCAAGGTGCAGCGGAGTCAGAGCTGCAGCGACACAGTTCAGGACAGAGTGAAGAGCAGGCTCAGAGCAGCTCCGCCCAGCAGAGCCAAGGTACACCTCAGGCTCAGGTTGCCGCTGGGCTCTCTGCCTCTGTCTCCCCTCAGCCCACACAAGGCAGGTTATATTAGTACACAGAGAAAGAATCCTACAGACAGATAGGAAGCTTCCAATTAGTAGACAGATGGGAATATTAAGCCATTATAGACTCCTTTTTAAAGGTCTCCGTGAGCCCCATCTCCATGAAATTTTCATGTTGCTAACTCCTTCAGGGGTGTGTGTGTGTGTGTGTTTAAGGCTGGAATTTCCCCAGTTTCAGGTGCACATTACCCTTCCTCCCTTCCTTCCCTGTCCTCCCTCCACCCAAAGGACTTATGTAGAAACAAATACATGCATGAGACGCCTGGAGGGCTGGCTCAGCAATTGAGAACACCAGTTCTTGCTGAGAACCAGACCCATATCAGGCCGCTGCTTCCCATAATTCTTGCTCCAGGGGATTCAACATGCTCTCTGGCCTCTTGGGACACCTGCACATACATGTGCATACATATACACAAGTTTTAAAAAATGAAAAATAAACAGTACAAAAAGTGAAGAAAAATACACACACACAATCTTTTATATTTCTTTCAGGTCACAACTATAACTCCAGGCTCCACCCCCATTATTGGTGTTCTCTTGTCTACTCAGAACAACCGCTGCCTCTCGGCCCCTGACTTAACCATAGAAAAGCGCCTGCCCTTCAGCTCCCTTTCGTCCTTGGCTTCTTTGCATAAGCCAGAGCGCTCTATCAGCCCTGAAAGCAACGACAGCATCTCTGAAGAACTCAACCACTTCAAGCCCATTGTCTGCTCGCCATGCACCCCTCCCAAGAGACTCCCTGATGGCCGAGTGCTAAGTCCACTCATCATCAAGTCAACACCTCGAAACCTGAACAGAAGCCTGCAGAAGCAGACTTCCTACGAGGCTAGTCCACGGATCCTCAAAAAGTGGGAACAGATCTTCCAGGAGCGGCAGATCAAGAAGACGCTTTCTAAAGCTACTCTCACCTCCCTGGCCCCTGAAGGAGGGGAGGAGGTGCCAGGCTCGGAAGCCGTCCATTCCAGCAAGGAGAGGCCGCCTCTGGCTTTAAGTACCAGACTGTCCAGGGCCCAGATGCTCTCAGAGTGTGCTGGGCCCACCTCCACTGCCCTCGAGTATTTACCTCCTGTTAACCAGACAAAAGTAGATCAGGACTGTGTTAGAAAAAGGAGCCATGACGTCCTGCTGGAGACCTGCCATTCCTCAGAGTACAGAGGAGTAGCCAGTGGGCCTTCTTTGGAAGGGGAGCAGTTTGAGGAGTCAAGGTCCACCCTAGATGCCACATTAGACAAAACTTGCATAAGCACAGTCATGAAGACCTCGGCAGTTAATTCAGTGCTACCTAAAAGTGATGTTTTGGGTGGGGTCTTTAAAACAAAGAAACAGCTGAAGACACTCAGTCATTTTGATCTGGCTAATGGCATTCTGATTGACAGCCTAGGAGAGGAGCCAATTCCTCCCCTGCGTAGGGGCCGGAAAAGGCGCTGTAAGACCAAGCACTTGGAACAAAATGGTGTTAAGAAACTGCGACCACCCAGCAGTGACATGGGCCTGGCCCCCAAAGAGCCAGGGCTGCGTGAGGTGGGGCAGAAATGGCAGCAGCAGGAGGGAGAGGACCAGCCGATGGCTCTGCAGTCACAGCGCATATTTGACAGTGAGAGGCGGACTGTGAGCCGGCGGAAAGGCAACGTGGATCAGTATCTCTTACGGTCCAGCAGCCTGGCTGGAGCCAAGTAGCACTTACTGTACAGTGTGGTGTTACTGCTTTTCAGAGGTCCTTGGCCTCAGTCATTTATCCAAAAGAGCTAGCTGAATGTTCTCACTTTGAGTTTCTTTCAATGGCAAAACACTGTCTAATATGATTCTGAGGCTTCAGAGCCTTGGTAATCAAAGCCAAGGGTCTGCATATTTGGCTCTCTAGGATCTGGGCCATACTCCTCACCCCCTGAGTGAGCCAACTCTGAAGGCTTCTGGGCCCAAATCTGGCAGCAGCCACTTGGAATGAGATTGGGATTGGCCTCATTCATGAACATGGTGGCCAGAGTTAGAGATGGCAGGGAGACAGTACCTTCTCACACTCATAAGAACCCTGGCTTCTTACAACAGAGCAGTGTTTAAGTCAGCCTTGCAGTAGACATGCACTCTTCAGAGACAAACAGTGCAGTGCTGTGGAAGACCTGAGGTAAACAAGGGATCATGTTCGTCTTTGTCACCCCTGTGTAGCTCTACACACCTAAGTCAGTTGAGCTTAGAACTTTGGCGTCTCCAGAAGCTAATTTACATTCTCTGTTTAAATTATGACATTTGATTGATGCTGTGTGATTGACACTTGCTCTTCCTGACTTGTAAGTGGTGTCAGCTGGATGATGAAGCTGCAGTGCAGATGTTCAGGCTCTCTCAACTGCCAAGTGGTGTAGTCCAGGCTGACCACTGTGTCTCCTGGCCACAAGTCCCATGGATTCTCCACAATCACGGGGTGCCCAAAGGAAATACAACCCAAGGGCATGCCACGGCTACCTAGGGAGACTGGCTAGGCACTGAGTGTGACAGTGTGAAGCCCACCTAGAAGCAATTAACATTGCTGAGATTGTAACATTGCTGAGATATAAATCGTAGAACTGCAGTGAACTCACCTACCCCATTTACAGGCTCCTGTTTTCCCAGGAGTCCTAGCCTGTGAGATAACGGTGAGGTTTCCCTACTATTTTCCACTTGGCAATGGCTACCTGCAATTTTGGTCTAAAAATCATGAAAAACTTGCCCCAAAGTCAGGCAAAGATAATGCTGAGACTCCATATTGAGGAAACAAGGTATCTAGCTGGATGCAGCTGGTAAATGTAGTCCCATGGACCTTTGGGGTTTATTTTTCTTAGCAGATGACACTGTGTGTCTTTTGCATCCCTGGTGGTGCTTGGTGCTTCTGCCCTTCTGGGCTCAATGAAAATAGGGATTATGATATGATTTTAGGGACTCTCAGGTGGGCTGGCATTCCCTGTGTCTGTATGAGCTGTTACCATAGTCATTTGACTGGCATTCTAACAAACCCTCCAGAGCTTCTGTACCCCTTGAAAGGTCCCAGCAGGAGAGTGCATAGTTCTCCAGTGAAGTTGCCTCTGATCAGAGTGTTTCTAAAACAGTCAGTCTAGAAATAGCTAGAGCTACAGTCAGCAGCTGAGGGTAGTTACCTGTAGTGCTGTTTCCTGGGGGCAGATGTCAGTCTTTTGGGATTCTAGAAGGGAGAACCTCAGATTTGGAATTAACCCAAAGTTGGTTGAAGCTTCTAGGAAGGTGGGAAGGAGCATGTGGAGTCCCAAGCAAGGTGTCCCTTAAAGCAGACAGAGTTACTTTCTCTGCAGCTCGGAGCTGACTCTTCCCGGGGATGCTGGATGTGTGTGGCCATCACCAAGATAGGTGGCTTCAGAGGCTGCTCTGATGGGGAGCCTGTGTGAGTCCTGGGGTGTGGGTGTATGTTTTACAGACATGCAACAGTCTCATTCCTGTATATTCATGCCACTTTACTTCTTGTCCTAGGCAACTTAAGGCTTTAGGGGCTGCTAAAGGCATGTTAATGTCCCAAAAAGGAGAACTGGCCCTGGTCTGCAGATACGAGGAGATTCCATTAGAGAAAACGTTGAAATGCCTGCCACTTCATATATTCCCTTTATGATCTTAGTAATTACTGTTGGAGGGCTAGTCTTCCTGGGTAGTAGCAAAGACACTTATTTTTCCACATGCCACCCTTTTATATGTCGCTAATCAGTAGAAAAACACTTTCAGTTGGAATTAATTTTGGGTTTTGGTGAAAAGATAAAATATTTTTACTAGATGAGAAATATATATTTTAAATATCCCCTTGCCCCTAGTTACTACCCTGGTTTGAGAGTGTGCGCAGTGGTGGTGACAGGTGTGGGCTGCAGGTGCAGCTGCTGCTGAGCGAGTGTTGCAGACTCTGGGCCCGCTGTGGCTGTCCCTGCCCCCCAGTGAGACTCAGCTGTGCTGCAGTGTGGGTCCCCGTGCTTCCTGCTGAGCAGTGCTCCTCCAAGAGGAGGCAGCGAGTTTCCCGTGAGGAGGAAAGGCCTTCTTTTAGTCCACTCAGCTTCGAAGATGGAAAACTACTAACATGCAGGATGCTCTCTCGTTTAGTCGTTGAAACCTGAACACTGTTTCTGAAAATCCCCATCGCAGCTACAGTTGTTGACATGGATTCCTGACGAGTAGAGACAAATAGAATGGTTGGTGAGCTAGACGAAAGAGATTTCACAAAATCAATACTGCCCACAAGTCACTGCAGTTCTGCCCACCCTACACATTGCCCGTGTTCCGCCATGCCCTTGTGTGTAAGCATTCTGCTTGTTTCCCTTTCTTATTAAAGAGGAAATGAGGAGGAACAGGACGGTGCGTCTTGCCATTCCTCAGGAGGGCTTGACAGCTCTCCGGAGAGGTAACCCTGCGGCTGACTGTACCTGTTGGAAGAAGTCATCTGGATGGATTGTCGTCAAGTCAGGGATTGCTCAGCCAGCAACTGACTTCTGTCCCTTAGTTACCTTTAAAAAAAAAAAGTTAAGTCTGGCTGAGGCTTGTCCAGGAATCCTTTCTTAATTGGCCTCATTTATTAAAAGAAACAAACCAAAAAACCCAAAACATTTTTTGTATGGAGGATGTACTGGTCATAAATGTCTTTTTTTTTCTTCAGTTGTTTTTTTAAGGTAAGATGCCCCTCAGAGAGTAAAGCTATTTAATTAATTATTGTCTGGTTACAAACTAGCCACTGACTAAATGGGAAGCTGCTGACTAAAGGCTTTGTTCATTCAGTAGGCACTTTTGAGTCTTAGACCACCCCAGTGTGCTGGACCACAAGCTAGACCCTGTTGTTGGGGGGCCTGTCTCGTGCAGTGTGTGTGGACATATGTTCGGCTAGAGGGTGCGTTAATATCTTTGGAAGGCCATTTAATCTATAGCAATGCTCTTCAATGGTCCTGCTCAGGAGATCGAGCACTCAGCCTGTCACCGGTAACATTTTCCATATCTCATCAGTATTTATGAGTTTGATTAACTCTGCTTCTTCCATTTCCTAAGTAACTTTTCCAGGGAAGAATGGATTTTCTCCTGCAGTGATTATAGAACAGTTGCTCTGTTCAGAAGCTGCATTTACTCAAGTTCTAAGAAATGAGGCAGGTCTGGGTCACTGATCGGGCCGGAGAAGCCCACTCTTCACTTGAGGGGCCTCCTAATGCATTCCCCAAGCTGACCTCTCACCAGAACTGGCAGTGACCTGGGGTTTCTTCTTCCTAACTTGTCACTGAAGTGGAGAGCCATCAGGAGAGGGTAGAGGCTAGCTTATCATCATGGGATGTTAAAGCTGGACCAGCCCTAGCCCCTCTTGAAATGAAGATCCACTGTTCTGGTTTCTGCTGTTATTCTCTAGGGCTGAATAATAATGAGTTATACAATTTGTGAATGAAGGGGACACCCGAGTGACAGAGGTTTGAGAATGGCTTTTTCTTTTGTTTCTTTCAGTGAAGATGTACCTATATTCCCCCGAATACACCCATACTAAATAGGGTACTTAATAGGGAAAACCCTGTAGTGTGAGCTAAGTAATGAGTGGAATTTTGTTGTAGTTATTTTAATCATAGCCTTTGCTGTTTCTTTCAAAATCGACCTCCTTAGGGTCTTAAATCTTTCTTAGCCAGCCCTTTCCTCATCTACCAGAGAATGCTCCTTAGATTTAGCCTTTAGAAAGAAGGGAGCTGGTTAAAGTTCTTATGAGCCGGTAGGGCAGGGAGCAGATTTTGAGGACAAGGCTGCTGCACAGATTCTCTTTGATGACCCAGCAATGCTCCTTTGCCTGTGGTTAGTCTGCAGCATTCTGGACTGTTCTGCAGAAGAGATGTGGATACACAGAGGTTACCAATTTAGTCAAAGGGGCTGGTGGAAGAAGCACCAAGCCCACGTGAACAGACTGCTCTGTGTCTCGCCAGTGTTTCTTCTGAGGGGAAAGTGTACTTTTGTGTTTCCTAAGTTTGTTCCCAGGAATGTGTGAGTGCTGACCTTAGGCTCTGAACAGGCCCCTCCCTTTCTGGTGTAGCAAAGTCATGCTAAGGTCAGCTTGCTGTCTCGTTCCTACGCTGAGTGTGAGCACAGACAGTGCAGGCTTGGGTGTCAGGCTGTGCAGGGCGGAGCTTCCTCCTGGTGCCAGACTCCTGTAGCAGCAGTCACTTCTCCCTGGCTGGCACTTGCCCTCCAAGCTGTGCCCCCAGTGCAGCCTGGCAGGTCCCAGTTTGCATCAGACATGACCATGAGCCCGAAGCCTCCAGCAAAGCAAGATAACAGATACTATGCAAGACAGGAAGTGACTAGTTGAAATGCCAACTAGTGGGTGTCCCCCCCTTTCTTTTTGCACCTGATACACTGTTTACTCTTAACTGTACAAATATAGTTGTATTAAGAGCCAAGAGCCGAACCTTTCCACTAGAAATATAAATTGGTTGTCTGTTTGGTTTTAGGCAACCTGCTATAGCTCCTTGTGGTCTAGTGGTTGTGACTTACTCAACCTGTTTACATTAGGATCGGAGAAGGGGCCTTGCATCCTGGTGGACTGCCACTGCTGTCTGTACCCCCTTGACTCATAAAGAGCCTTTTGGCAGAGGACTTGGGACAAGGTATGCCCTGTCAAGGGATGCTTTTACCACAGTGAAATGGTGTGGAATCAAGTGGGATGATGTGTGATTAAAACAGTACCAAAGTGCATTCTTCAATGTGTGTATGTGCCTGTTCCAGGCGAGGCCCAAGTTGAAAATGCAGTAAAGCAGACTCATGAAAGCAAACAGTCTACTTCTGGTTAGTCTCTAGAGTGCTGCGTCTGACAGTGTGAACTAAGCTTAAGGCAGGTGTTTGTTTGGGTGCTGTCCTGGGCCGGGGAGGTACCTGGGATGGAAAGCCTTACCTGGGCATTCAGAAAGAGTGGGAAGGCACTGGGGTGGGATCTCCACAGGGAACAAGTCTACCAATTTATATGTTCTAATGGTTGGTATTTACAGTTTCCTGACCTCTTGAGACCATTGTAACTTCTCTGAAGACCCAAGTTTGAGTAAAGAATGACTGGGAGATGCCACTGTCCTTGCATCTTACAGCTGGACTTAGAAATATGATTGTTAAAAATGCTCTTCTTTGGAACCATTGCTCAGAAAGTCATAAAAAAAAAAAAAGAAAAAAAGAAAAAACCTCTGACATGAGTTTTTCACAGAACATGGAACAAATGTTAACCTGTTTCTCTTAAACTCAGAAAGCGACCCTGGAAGACTCTGCCAGCGCATGCGGGATCTCTGAAGTCACTTTACACAAGGCCTTCAAGGGAGAGTGCTTAAAGTGAACATGCAGCCAGGTGGAGTCTTGAAAACAGCACTCGGCACTTGGTCCCTAGCGTAGCAAGGCGCGGTACACTACACATTCCCTTGTAACTAGGAATGCTGGGCTTCCTTTACAGATAGGAACTCCAGCCCTGGCTGCACCTCCAGAGCCTAGGTGCTGGGCCCTCTGACTCCAGGGCTGCTGGTTGCCTCTGCTGCTGCTGTGGCCTCAGCTAACTTCACAGTGCAAAGCTCTACCACTGGCCTTGGCCAACAGTGTGGTTCCAGTTGCTGTCTGGACTGGAACTGGTGGGGCCAGTGACCAGGCTGTCTTCCCACTTTACCTACTGTCCTGTGGAATTCTGAGTTAATTCCAGATGTGAGCACAGTTTGCTCTTCCATCTCTCGGTTCTCCCAAAGCCTCACCAACTTCCAGATTGCTCCTCATTAGTGTCTCGGGTGACTAGCCAGCTCAGTTTGGGAAGATTGAAGGACACGTAAACTGAAGCGGAAAGTTAAGAGTGATCCCAGCATCGAGTGTATGGAGGCAGGAGGATCAGGAGTTCAGGGTCATCCTTGGCTATATAGTTTGAGGCTACCCTGGGCTACATGAAACCCTGTCAGAAAATACAAGGGTGTGTGTGTGGGGGGAGATGAAAAACATGAGTTGCCAGTCATCAAGTCTTACTAGAATAGTAGCAGAGTTGGGGTACTACATGGTGGCTTCCAGCTTGGGGTTCAGTTGCAACACTTTGTTACATGTTTGGAAAAAGGCTCATGCTGGACTCTGTAAACAGCTTCTGGGGTAAGAAGCCAAAGGAATTTAGAAAGTTAAGAAACTTAGTAAGGAGAGACAACCAGCTTGTTCACCTGAGAGAAAGTGGTGCTTTGCCCAGACAAGTGTGCCCTCTTTGGAATGCCCTCACACTGGTTAAGGGGCTGCCATGGGGGTACAAAGGGCAGAGCTGGAACTGAGGGACTTAGGCAGATAGGCTACACAGTCCATTCTAACATAACCATCAAAACTGCCCACAAAGGGGCTTCCTCTGAGTCAGTTCCATTACTGGGGTGACTACAAGAAGCTAGGTTGGAACAGTGTGTGTGTGTGTGTGTGTGTGTGTGTGTGTGTGTGTGTGTGTGTGTGTGTGTGTGTGTGTGTGTGTGTGTGTGTGTAGGTAGGTAGGTCCATTCTTGAGAATATGTGGCAGGAACACATCTGGCTGAAGGGAGCACTCTCGGGGGTTCTCCAGAAGTGGAACCTGGTGGGTTGACAGTGTGACTGTCAGGGTGGCTTTTCCTAACAATAAAGGAAAGATGGATGCTTTGGAACTCCTATAAATCCAATCTAGCAAGTCAACCACAAATGCTCCGAATGTGGCTGCTGCTGTAGGTCACTGCATCACCTGTATCTGTCAGGCGTCTAAATGGGCTAACTATACTCTTGTCACTTGGTGTGGCCTGTGTAGTGATGGTACATGCATGTGTATGTCTGAGTATGATCACAGCTTCATGTAAGCGCTTAACTGGCTATTTACATGAGTCTGTGAAGTTGAGTTCAATAATATGCAAATGGTTGGAGTTTGGATTTGGGGAGGCTGCCTTGCTGAGGATCAAGAAGCATACTTAGACCCTAGGGACTGCAGGTCTGCTGCCCAGATCTGAAGTTGCCATCCCCAGGGGAGAAGTCTTAGGTCCCACACAGCATAGCCCCGGTGGACTCCTCCAGATCCTTCTGGGGTAGGTGCTGCCTACTGGGCACACACCAAGAATGCAGCAGCCCCAGTCTGCCTTGGCCAGAATGTTGCTTTATTATGAACCGGGGTGCCCGCCCAGCCCCGATGTTTGTGTTCTTGCCTTCAGCCTGTGTCCTGGATTATAGGTCCCTGGGAAACTAGCCCCTCCCCTCATCTACCAGCCATATCTCAAAAGGGACCGACCATTCCATCTTCTGTCACCCTCACAGTGGAAAACGTTCCTTCCAGGAAATCTGTCTCCCCAGCCTCTGGCCCTCTGCTTTGCTACCCTGCCTCTTGCTGGCTGCAGCGCACTTCTGAGTTTTCTATGCTACTCCTCTGTCTCAGCTGTCATGAGCTACTCGGGTGGGTTTCTCCTAGCCCTCTTGGGATGCAGGAATCATTGGAGATTTTTTTCCTCAGTGACACCACCACTGTGGCCCTGGCCTGGCTTCCAAGAAGAATGCTTGGCACCCACAGTATTGCTCTATGCACCAGTCTTTATTGCTGCTGGGCCAGCCACCAGGTGCAGCCTGGCCGGGCTCGGAGGCGAGGTCCTGCCGAGCTCCACATGCTGAGCACGAAGCGAGATGGAGCCCAAGCCCCCTCTGTTCAGGGCTGGGCACGGTCCAGGGCACATAGCCCCTGGGGAGGGCGGTGCGTAGCTCTACTCTTTCGAGTCGCTGGCCGTGGTGTCCTGGCAGAACTCGTCCATGAACTCGAGGAAGCGGCCCAACTTGGGCTGGCCCGCGCTCAGCGCGCGGCGGGTGGGCGGCCTGGGCGGCGGGCTGGCCGTGAACACAGTCCGCAGCGAGCTGCGCACCAGCTGCCTGTAGCGCGCACGGAACTCCTTGAGCAGCCTCTTGGCCTCCCGGTACTGCTTCTGGTTCACCAGGCGCTGCTGGGCACGCCGCTGCAGCACGGCGCCTGCAGGGACGAGATGGGACAGCGCCAGGCTCGCCCGGTTCCCCAGGCCCAGAGATGCACAAAGCATATTGGTGGGTGGAAGCAGTCCAGCCCCGACAGTGGGAAGTCATACCTCAGTTCAAACTCCGAAGGTGCCTGGTGACAGGGGAGCCTCCTGCCTGCCCGCCCGCCCACCGGCACACACCCACACCGTAGATGGCTCAGAAATCCCCACATCCCCAGCGCTCCCTGCTTTCCGTGCTCCCTTCTAGGTTCGCACCAGTCCTCCCCGCTGACACCTGCCCTGGTAGGACAGTGGCACCATACCCAGTGGAGCTTCAGTGACGTTCCGAGGGTCCCGCATGCGAATGAGGATGTCATCCAGCAGCTGCGCTCGGGTCTTCCGTGGGGGTGGAATTGGTATCCTCCCAGCCTGGCACAAGGTAGAGAGGTCTGTCACTTCATGCACTCATTGCCACAGGCAGTAGGGAGTGCTGGGAACCAGGCCTCAGGGTCCCAAGGTCCTGCAGAGACCTCAGAACTCAGGAGCAGTCAGTGGCTGAGGTGCTTACCCGCTTCTCCTTGGGGACGTAGGGTTTCTGGAAAGTGTCCAGCCTGGGCTTGGAGGAACGACAGATGAGCGGCTGCTTCAGCATGCGATGCAGGGCCTGTGCATTCTTCTGGATGCCTAGCAGAGAAGGCAGCAGCAACAGGTGTAATCCCTGACCCCGCTTAGTGCTGGGAAAAGGACTGCGGAGCCCAAGAAAGTCATTCCCAGAGCTCCCTCATCGGCTCCCCCCAATGCTTCACCATTCATTGAGTGAAATGTCCGCCTGAGCTCAGAGCCTGATGTGGGGTCACGTGACAGGGTGACTCCCGGGAGACCGGCTCCAGGCTCTTTTGGAGGCACAGATACTGTTGGCACATCAGAGTAAATAGAATCATAGCCGAGAGGGCACTGCCTCTGCTCCCCCAAACCAAGTGGTGGTGGGGGGTGGGATGGTCTACTGGGCCTCTACAGAGGCTGACAGAGCTCAGGAACCTGGCTTTGTTTGGTCATTAACCCTTCTCTGTGAGCAATTTCCCACGGTGGGCAACTGGGCTAATGTAGCCGGTCTTTGAAAAACCATGACCCCAAAGCACTGAAGGTTCAGTGAAGTGTAGCGACGCTGCCGTGCCCTAAGAAGCCCCTGACAGACATCCAGATGGAGGGCAGCACCGACCCTGGCCTGGCCTGGCCCGCTCTGGGCTGAGGGGCGCCCCCGGCGCTGACATACCCTTGGGCTCCACGAAGGCTGGGTCAGGCTTGGCTGTGAGCAGTTCCTCATAACCATAGTACTTGTTGTGCACAGAGGCAGACGGGTGCTTCCTCCGCGTCCTCTTGGCCTCTCTGGGTGCAGTTAATGGCCTCTTTGGGTCACTCTCCTTCGCCTCTAACTTTTCCTTGTGGACGGTGGAGGGTGGCAGCTCATTCACCTGTGCCGGGAAGAAAACACGTTCCCTGGCGGATCCCAGCATGGGCTCTGCACAGCCTGCAGTGTTGGGCCCTGATACAGGGAGAACTGAGGCGTGGGGGAGGCTGACCACAGGTGATGTGTGCCAACAGGAGAAGGAAGCCATGGCCAACCGGCGCAACCTCAGAGGAGTTCCCAAGCCAGCCAGAAAACTCCACAGGAAGTGGTTCCTTAGTCTGGGCCCAGGCTTGGAGAACCGGGAGAGCTGTTCCCAGACAAAGCGGATAGAGGCCTGGACTGCAGGCCGTGACAAAGGCTGGCAGCAGGGGCAGCCGAGAAACAGCATGGCACACTCCAAGAGTGATGTAACACAGGTGAAGGACCT